ATTGACATAAATTTGCTTCACACAACCCTAATCAACATGGCAGTTTAATTACAGGCATAAGCTAAATAGCATCAACAAAATTGTGTTCTGTACTAATTTAATTACAACATCATGTAATAATTTACATGATCAAGAAAAACTCCACGTGACATATAATAACGTTATTAATTTGTATTAAAAATTAAAAATTTGACAACATATTACTAAAAGATTAGTCAAAATCATAAGATTTCCTAATTAATTATTTCTCTTCTTTGAGCAGCTTCTATTCAATTCAGGGCTTTTTCCTTTTACTATTATAATGTTGAATCAAAATGAGGGTATCCCCTGATCCATCGGCAAATCCAAACTGGGTCACTTCTGCGTTCCATTGTGTGTTTTTGTTTTTGGCTATTGTGATCTGTTAGGCTCAGTTCATATCCCTTAGCAAAGTTGTTTCCTTTTAGTGTTGGGCCTAAAATCTTTCGGCCACACAGAATGCAAAGCTATTCCAAAACTAAACAAAATCAAATTCCAAGCATATATCATTTATTTAAAATCTTTGTTTATCACTGTCATTAATTGCATAATGTGTGTATTTTTTTTGGTAAAGTAGGAAAACTAAACAAAGCACACAGTTCAAGACATAGAGTCTCTCTCTAACGGAAACAAAACAAAATCTGGAGGACTCCTCCAAAATACATTGGAACCTAGGTTCCTTACACCCCAACTAGCAAGCGTATGAGCTACTGAGTTTATTTCTCTAGGGATATGACTTACGTAAACTACCCAATCCCTGGCTAGCCATCGCTGAACACGCCGAATAACATCATAGTGCTTGTGCAGATAATCCCTATCCGTTGGCCGATCTTGAAACAACTTAACAGCTCCCAGGCAGTCACATTCGCAGTTCACCTTCCGAAACCCACCTTTCCAACAAATCGAGAGACCCTCCTCCAGAGCCAACAACTCAGCACGTAACGCATCACCAGTTAAGGCGCTTCGCGAAAACCCCCCCCGCCACATACCTGCCCAATCACGAATAGCTCCACCCATCCCCATAGCAGAAGTCTCACTCAACCAACTCCCGTCTGTGTTTAACTTGACCCATGGGTGCTCCGGAGGCCTCCAAAGGGCTTGCTCCACCCATAAACGCCTCTTAGCGTTATACACACTGTTCTCTACCATAGATAGTATCATCTTCCGACGGACCGCCGAGATTTGCCAAAGCTCATCATTAAACACCATGTTATTCCTAAAGCGCCAAATCCACCACAATATGATGGATATCGGAATAGCATCCTTGTGCAAGACAATCCCCTTTATCCACTGAAAACAATCCATTATAGAGAAGGACCACCCCACACTGCATCCGCCAGCCGTGAGCACCTCTCGCGAATATAGGCAATCCCGAAGAGCGTGTAGAATGGTCTCATGAGGGCACGAGCAACGCGAGCATGCACCTGACTCGGCCAACCTCCTATCTGCCCGAACCTGATTCGTTGGGAGGGCTGAGTGAAGGCATTGCCACAGAAAGAACTTAATCTTCTCAGGGATCCTTATCCTCCAAAGCTTCTTCCAAACTGCATCCCCCTCCGCTTCCAACCCTGGGGTTAGAAAACGATATCCAGATGCCGCTGTATAGCAACCTGAGATATCACTTCCCCACACAAAGTGATCTAACCCCAAAGGGGATTGGACAACACTCAACTGTTGGACCGAGTTTATCAGTTCGGTCGGAAGAACCGTATACAAGGCATTGAAACGCCACTCTCCACTACTCCAGCAGTCGGCAACCGTTTTGCATAATGTGTGTATAATAATAGTTATCACTATTTATTTATTTATTGTAGGCATATAGTCGGTTGTTAAAGAAATTACTATTACCTTAATTAAATTGGACATCTGTAATGGCAATGGGATGTTAAACAATTCATTCATTCGTTTTCCATTAGTGTAAGAGTTAACGTTAATCAATGTAACATTAACTAAATACATTTACCAGATTCTTTTAATAATATATACATATATTAATAACAAAAGAGATTATCTTATTTAGTGTTTTTTTTCGTCCTTGGAGTATCCAGGACTGGCTCCAAGGTTTAACGCGCTGCATACACAAAGCATGATTCGAACCCCTAACTTTACTTAAGCGTGGATAAACCCTTATCGTTGAACCACATGTTTGGAGTTAATAACAAAAGAAATTATCTTATTTAGTGTTTAGTTTTATCTTTTTATTTTACCCTTAATAACTATATATAATTTTTAATAATTATACAAATTATAAGATAATTTTATTATTATTTTTTTTTGTTTCTCACTCGAAATCTAATAAAAGGAAAAGGGGAGTTGCAGTACCCGATAAAGAAAAGGATGTGCGTTTAGAGGGAAAATAAAAGAGAAAGAAATCGTTGGAAAACGAAGGCTTTGTATATATTCCATAGTCGATGAGAATCTCTCTGTTTAGAACAATGATCCCATTCCATATATTGGCCATGCATGCCAAAATTATCGATCACACCTTTCTTTTTTAAGTTATAAGAACTTAATTAAGTTACACGTTTTATAAATAAAAAAAATTAATTAATTTAGTTAAGAGCATTAAATTTGTTAATAATTTAAATTATTTTTTAGAATTAATTTTCTCTTTTTTCACTTAATCATTTCTCTATTTAATTAGTGATTGAAAGAGAAATATTTATGTGTTTATTTGTCTTCAATTTTAATGAAAAGAAAATTTTTATTTAATTAATTTCAAATATTTATTGTCTTTTATCTAAGAAATTATCAATTAAATTAACATATTTTAAAAATATATAATTAATGCAACTAATAATTAAAATAAAATCTTAAAAAAAATGAAAAGAATATATATACTAACATATAAAAATGATAACTCTTCTAGTAATCACTTTTGATACATCATTACATTCTTTTATTATTAAAAAATTAATAACCTTTTAAAAATTATTATTCTCTTTTAATAATTATCCATCCTACTATTTTTATTATTTGATAATCTCAATTTTTTTTTTAAATAAAATATAAAAACACGTGACACTATATATAATGACGGAAGTAATATATAAAGAACTGCTGTGGCTGAAGGTTGGCAGCGTTTATTGTATTGAATTAATTGATTAAATTTAATTTCTATTCATTGAATTTTATGAAATGGATGATTCAATTATTATTTTATAAACAGTGATTTGACCAAAATCTTCCGAAATGCAATCTTGATTAGATTGTGTGACAGAGACAGTTGAGTTAATTAGTAATTATTAGATTTAAGGACAAATATTTATTTTTAGTATAGAGATTTAAAGATAAATAATAGGATGAAGCGAAAGAAATGTAACTAGCTATGTTTGGGTGTTTCTTTCTGTTCATCCAATTTTTGCGCCACATGCCTCGCTTCCCACTTCTTCTCTTTTCTTATTTTCTCTACCTTTCAACGCCAAACACTTGTTCATCCAAATCTTTATTCCATTTTTCTCTTTTCTAAACCTTTTTTTTAATTTATTATTATTCCCACTTGAGCAAAACAGATAGAGTTACAGTGTATTTCAAATGGTTTTGAAATACGGAAAAATTAATTGATTTTCTACTGTGAAGTTATAGTAATACCGTAAATGGTTGTTTTTATCTTTTTTATGATTTTGTGGGATAGAATTAATTATTAATTACTTGTATCCAAGAACACAGTGTTAAAATTATACAGGAAGTGAAAATGACATTCACTCTTTATCTAAACCAAAGAAAGAAAAAAAAATCATTGTTTACGAGATTTCCTTGTTTCACATGTTTGTGGTTAGCTAGAAGAATCCAAAGTTGAGGAAGTAGAGCGTTATGATCTAAGAAAGAGAACATTAGAAAAAAAGTCATATAGAAATGATGTATAACTTTTGACTGGTTAGTTTTAGGTTAAATAATAATTTTGATTTCTCTAATTTTTCAACATGTAATTTTGGTTTTTTCATTTTAAAATAAAAATATTTAATCTTTCTATTTTTAAAAATATAAAATTTGGTTCTACGGGAATTCAATGTTGATTGATTATTAAAATTTGACATTTTTGTATCATATGTCACTACCTTAGTATAGTTTGTATTCATTTTAATGAATGTTCGATATTTTATTTTATTAATATTTTTTTTTTCATTTTTTAGTTTTTATTTTCAAATATAATTTTACTAAATGTTATATTATTTAATGTGTTTAAATGTTAAAACTTAATTATTAATATATGTTAATTTAATGAAAAAAAAAAATTATATTCTTAAAATTTGAGAGAATAAATATCTTTATTTTAAAATAGAGATACCAAAATTATAAATTAATAAAAATAGAAGAATCAATAATGTAATTTAAATTTAGTTTTATTGAGTGTCTTCTTTTTTTCAATAAAGCATCAACTTTTGGTCATCAACTAAAGAAAAAATTTTCAGGATCTACTCATATTTATAATTCAATCCTAATGGTAAAATTCCAACTTATATACTAAGTGTGATTAATTAATGATCCGTTAAATTAAATACAACAACAAAAAAATACACATTAGAGAAGTTCATTGTTGTAAGTGAAGTAAAGAAAGAAAGAAGACACATGTTACAAAAAAAAATTCTACAAAATAAAGATGAAACAAATTATTATTCTATGAGGTCAATAAGAAAAGATTTAGCATTTGAGAAGTCGTATGTTCCAATTTCCATTAATCTCTTTGGGAAGAGGTAAATGTAAGTATCTCTGTGAGCCTTGAACTTACCCTTTAAATTTTGTCATAAAAATAAAAGGGTATGAAACAAGTTGTTTGTCTTTTATTAGTTAAATTTTGAATAGCAGAGGTTGTTTTCCTTTTAGTGCAAAACAAACTCTTATAGTTAAGCAATCTTGTTAAAGAAATATATGGTGAATAATGAGAAGTGGAGGAAGGGTGGTTTGGGGATATTTGAATAGTTTGATTGATGTATTAACAAATAAATAAATAAAGTGTCCAAGCTGGAATCTAAAACTTAATTTTAGCCTCCTTTATTATCCTTTTTTGGTTAATAGAATCGAATTGCAGCAGCTTCAGGAACGAGGAGGTTGAAGACACACACGAACAGAGGAAAATATTTACATTGAGAGAAAATCAGAAGCATTAATGAATGATATTATTCATTTATATATAAAAGATTAATGTGAAAGTATCGTATCATGTCCATAAGCCCCATAACCATCCTTAACAGAGCAAGTAGAAGTTCTATGCTCCTAAAATGATACATTATTATGTATGAAATAGCACAGAGAAAGGAAAAAAAGGTTGGTCTTGTTAATTATTATTGATGTTATATTCCTTCTGACATGTGTTGCAATGATTCTTCTGCATTTTGTTATTTGATTTTCTTTTTTCATTTTTCTTCATTCTGTTCCTTTCCACCCTTAAAAGTAATGATATATATGTATAGTTATATAGGAATATCAATGTTGTGGATTTATGTAGTTGTGTTTGTGGATGTGAAAATGGTAGTTAGGACCTTACAAATATCATTTCTACATGAAAGAAAGATGAACATGAACACCAACACAAACACAGACACAAGTGCATGAATGTTTTCAGCTTTTCGTTGATGATTATATCTGATCTTCACAAGAACATGCTTTGTCATCCAATTTTGCTTTTGCTTTTGCTTATTTGAAATTTTGATATTGTAAAATGTTCATGTATGAAACCTCTTATTAAAAAACCTAGTGGTTGTCCAGAACAATATCCTTTATTTATTTTTTATTCTTTTGGCATGCAATACACATAATATCTCCACAAAGCAATTTCAGATGGTGGGTGGTAACAACAATTCGAGGCAACACAATGACACAACTTCTACCAAAATCTTTGTTGGAGGGTTAGCTTGGGAGACTCAGAGAGACACAATGAGGAGGTATTTTGAGCAGTTTGGAGAGATCTTAGAGGCTGTTATTATCACAGACAAGAACACCGGCAAATCCAAGGGTTATGGTTTTGTAAGCCCGTTTTCTTTTTTCTTTTTCTTTTTTTTTATGATTCTCATGTCTCCCACATTGTCATATTTGCTTGTCCAATTCATTTGGCATGTGGTCTTAGACAATGAATCTTTGGTTTTGCTGTTATCCAAGGTCACATTCAAGGATCCAGAGGCAGCAAAAAAAGCATGTCAGAACCCCTCTCCAATAATTGATGGGAGGAGGGCAAACTGTAATATTGCATCTATTGGTGCAAACAAGAATCGTACACAGGCTCCACAACATGGTCTCAGTTCCTCCATTTTCCTTTATCCTATTACAATTTCCTCTTTACAATTTGTTTTTCTGTATTTATATTTCTCCTTAAACAGTTTGAGTTTGAGTTTTTTTTTCTTTTCTTTTCATTATAATCTATCTATTTATCTCATATGAAGCAGGAAATTACATGCCACCTTTACTATTTGGTTATCAATTGAATATTAAACAAATGTTTATCATACATGACATTATTTTTTTATTAAAGAAAGAAGAATTGAAAAGCAACTTCATAATGTGGATGCAGGACGGTTTAGAGCAGCACCTGGTGTTTTGGCCTCACCTGCTTATCATGGCCCCTCCTCAACACTTGTCCATCAAAACAGTGGGCAACACACACTTACTTATCCAACTTTTGGGTAACATGAAAATACCACGAGTGGTTTTGGTCATTTTTCTATTATGCATCTCAATTTTCTCCCTTATTCCTACATTCTGTGTTTTTTCTTTCTGTCTGATCCTGCTTCTTTGCATTTTTAGGGGATATACCGGATATTCACAAGATAATATGTACCCCATGGTAGGTGTTTGTGCAACAAATGCTTAAAAATAATTGCAAAGTAAATATTATATGTATCTAAGATATCACAAGTTGTTTAGATACAAATTAGAAGTTAGAAGTGTTTTTAAAAAAAAATCAATTAAAAAAGAACTCTCATTATTTTCAATAGAAAAGTTAAAAAAAAAAAAAAACTTTTAAATTTGTATCTAAACAAACTGATACTACACTATTATTCAATTACAAATGTTATTTATGAAAAGTTTTGAATTTACAATCCAATCACGAGCAATACCATCGGTTATTTCAGATTAATTGATGGTGTAATTTTTATTTTTATTTTTATTTGTTTGCAGAGAAGTTGAACTCATACTTATATGTGCATTGCATCTTCTTCACTAACTTTGCATACTTTTGTGTGAACAATTTTGCAGAACTGTTATGGGGTATATGGAGGTCAACCGTTCTCAACTTACTACCCCTCCAATGGGGCATCTGGGCCAGTGGGAATTGTCCATAACATTTACCCTTTTTCTGCTCAATATGGATACAATAGCCAAGCTCAAGGTTTTGGAGTCCAATATCCCCAAATGATGCAATTTCCAATCGTCCCTAGGCACTATGGCTCAGCTGGCACCCTTACATTTCCCTCTTCAATGGCAATGCCAACTATTAGTGCAGGTAAAAAGGTTATGTTATTTTATTGATATTGTCTCTTTAACTATCCAATTTAAACAAGAGTACATTGAGGGATAAAATAATGTAACAGTTACAACAACAGCAACTACAACAACAACAGAATTGATAGGAACAAGTGCAGATGCTTCACAAACCACTAGAACAACTTCTGAGCAAAATTCCTCAGCTGAATCACTACAGAAATAAATCAATGATGTCTTGTAAGGCTAAATATGCTGAAAGGTGATGAAAAGGGTTAAGAACCAAGAAGGGATGACATTGACTACAAGAAGCATGTTAAGTACTGATTCCTAAAAGAGGTTGAGATTACCAGCTACGTATCAAGAGAAGTAAACCAATAACTCAACACGGAACCGTTCATTTAAGGAATTGGTAAATGATGTGCATTACATAAAGCTTATGCTACTAATCCACCTAAACTAATTCTTAATACATGCTCTAAATATAGCAGCTTTGTACTCTGGTAGACTAATTTTACTAAACATTAATGTCTTAGGCGTACGTACCAAGTAGCATCCAATGACACCTTGTTCATATGAACAGTAAATGGGTTCTTAAGGTTTTAAAACCTTTGAACCCAGGATTGATTAGTCATTAGAAGGAAGATACTGAATTGGGAGTTTGGGACAGCTCAATCTGTCAATTTACCGCGTTAATTTTCAATGCATGACAATAATTCTCATGTGAAAAGCTAACTAATGAATAATACGATTATAAAATATAAGTTATGTTGATACTACGTTGCAAATAAATCCATATAATCGTATGCCGACAATTTTAGTTCTTGGCCATTCCGCTGTAGAAAACCATTGTAGGATCATATACTTTAACTAGATCGTACAGTAAAATGTTTGTGGGATCAATGCAAAAGTGACGTTCTTTTCATCTAGTTAAACGTGCCTTAAAAAACAAACAATACTGAACTTTTTTATAACTTCACATGGAATTTTATGTCGTAAAATTACGTTTAATAAAAATAAACGCAACTTTTGGAGCCAAACAGGCAGATGCAATAAGCAGTGCAAGTTACATATATAGCACAACTCCTTGTTTGCCCAACATAGCCTGTGTCATATCTAGACTACTAAGAAACGCTTATACTTCTGCTGATCTTGAATACATGCACTCAAATAGTGTTGAAATCACTCCGTAGAGTGAATTACCCTGATTGGAATCGTGTAATCTTCGTGCCCATGTAAATTTCTATAATATATTTTGGAGAAAACAAAAGGTAGGAGAAAAAAATAATAATAAGCACAGGGCTGGGGGAACTTTATGAGACTCAGACAAGGAGAGGCTTCCCTCACATCTTTGTTCTTATTATGGAGTTGCCACATTCTCCTTTGCCAGTGGAGCAATTTCCTCTCCATCAATTCCAGGTTGACTGCCAGGAACTCCCAAGTTTAGCAATACTTCCTCCCACTTCTTAGCAGGTCCCTATTTCCAAAACATATTGTCATATTCAGTTACTAAGATTAAAGACAGAAATATGGTATCGATTAGCAGCTTTATAATAGTTGTCGGAAAAAATATGACTATATGAGAAAATAGTCTATGTAATGACTGTGTAAATAGTTTTTGCAGTGTCATCCAATCATAAATCATCATGTATGAAAAGTTTATTGTCTTTTATAAATATTACCTTAAAAGTCTTACTTTATCATAATTTTTTATTGTTTAACAGGAGAAAAACCCTTTACACTAATAGTGCATAGAAATTAAACTCAAAAGTAAAATATAAATCTCGTCACAGCTTATGGTGTACCACTCAGGTTTTGCCCTCACTCACCTTCCATGAAAGATCTTGAGCCATGCAATTCTTGATCATTTCTGTAAAAGCTGGAGTTCCATAGACTGCAAGGGCCCTTTTGACAGTCTTTGCTATAGCATCCACATCCAAAGGATCCACAGCATCACACTAAAGCAAAATATTGAAAAATAAGATAATAATGGTTAGTGATTAGAACTTCAGTTACTGAGGACATGCTTGCAGACTGTGAACTGATAGAAAGTCTTAGTATATTACTTCAACATTGAAGGAACCCATCTGAAATCCAGTAAAACCTTCTTCGACAGTGTCAACTAATCCACCTGTTGAGGCAACAATAGGTACCTAGCACAGTGAAGAATAGAAGTTAAAGAAAAATGTTAAGGATAAGGATTAGAGGAAATCTAATAGCAGCAAATAATACTAGGAATGAAGGATTGTTGCAGGGATTATACCGATCCATAGCGCATAGCTTGTAACTGAATGAGACCACAAGGCTCAAATCTGCTAGGAACCAATATAAAATCAGCTCCAGCAATTATCATGTGGGCAAGGGGAACATTGAATTTTGCCACTCCTCTGGCCTTGTCAGGGTACAATGTTTCAAGTTGCTGAAGCTGTTTTTCCATTTGTTTTTTCCCTGTTCCCTAAGACAATAGCATAACATAGTTGAATGAGATCTGTTGTTCCTCATTTTAAGAAGGATTGAGAAATTGTGTTTACTTTTTCTCTTTTTTCATTTTATACTTACTAGGGCTACCAACTGAACATTCTCCTTGATAAATTGAGGAATAGCTGCGGCAAGAATATCAGAACCTTTTTGCTCTTCAAGCCTACCAATGAAACCAATGAGTGGAATATTTCTGTCAACTGGCAATCCAACTTCAGCTTGGAGGGCTTCTTTAAGAAGAGCCTTTGCTTCCAATACCTAATTAGGGGAATATGTTATTTAGGTATTTCTCTTATGAGCCATGACGCAATTTAGAGATACTTTTAACTCTTGAAAAAGATGTTCTTACTGCTGAAACATTGTATTTCACAGCTATGTATTTGTCAGTGGATGGATTCCACTCTTGAACATCCATGCCATTCACTATTCCAACAAAACGACTATCAACTTTGCGAAGGATGTTATCCAACTCCACTCCTTTGTCTGGACCTGACACTAGTTCTTTAGCATAGTTTGGACTAACAGTTATCACAAACCATGATTCTAAAATCCCAGCTTTCATCCAATTGATTTTCCTTCCAATCACTGGTTTAACATGTCTGCAAGATTAGAACAACTTCAAATAGTTATAATTTGTAATTGTATATGATGGTTGGTTACAATTCATAATTTACGAGCAACATACCCATCAATAAAGTCAAAGGAGCTTTTAAATTGGTCTGGGAGATTTAGAAGTGAAAAGTCCGAGAATGCGAATCTTCCTTGGTAAGCAATGTTGTGGATACAATAAACAACCTGGTAATGGTAGCAACCAGAAAGAAAATTTGAAGAGATTGTGAGTTGATCATGAATGTTAAATAAGGTAAATAACTAAATATATAATAGCACTACAGAATAACAAGCCAGTGTGACTTAGACCTACTCGGGCATTCTTATAGATGCCCACTGACTGGTACATAGATTTCAAGTAGCAGGGGAGAAGGGCAGTGTGCCAATCATTGGCGATGAAAATGACATCTTCACCTGCATAAAAAGAAAATAAACATCATACCTAAAAGATCTTCTGTTCTTAGCTTCAAAGAACTTCATTTATGACCTTAATCCATACCATATGGTCCAGAGAAATATTTATTGGAATTAAGATTCAGAACCCTTGGTGCCTCCAAAGCTGCCTGGAGATTAATTAAAAGAGAAAAAAATAAGGAAGGGGAAGAATAGACATTAGGTGGAGATAAATTATTATAAGAGCACGTATTACTTTATCCATCATATAAATCAAATGCAAGTAGCTTTAATGCACCCAGAACTTCCTATTACTACTAATAAATATGTTGCAAAGAGAATATCTTCAGTGGATTATCAAAGAGCACATATAACTTTTTCTATTATATTACCCCGTCAATTAGTTCAAAAGTTTTTAAATTGTCAACTAGTTAAAAATTATCTTTCGCACGACCTTTAAAGTAGCTATTATCAAAGTTAACAAACTTGCATACATGATAGTTTGTAATGGGATAAAAGTGTAGAAAAACCTATACACTATTAGTAGTTTAGTACACATACCATTATAATCGATTAAAATGTGCCATACCCCATGGAAATAATATAATATCTAATAATTTATGTAGCTAGTTGAAAAGTATATTTCAGGCAAAATATTAGTCTTCTATTCTTTTATGGTTGGAATTGGAAACCAAATGCATAATAAAAACAGCAATATTAGTGAACAGAACTCTTGCAACTAAAAGGATGCCGATATTGAACCTGGCAAAACAGGCTAAAACGTAGTTGGTTGTCATCGTAATCATCTCCTGTAGTTTGTCCATAAATTTTGGTTCCAGTTTTCCCCCAGACCTTGAAGTTCAGTCACTAATAAGTATCCGATGCAAAACAGTGAACGGATGGCAGGAAAACTAAGAAATATTCCAACCTTTGCAAGAAACAACGGGTGATCCACAAAGACACGGTCAACTCCCCTCTTATAGCAATGGAAGAAGCGAACCTTTTCTGTTTTATCTCCTACTTTCACCTGTAACAAGAATATAACAACGCATTTAACCATTACACAATTTGGCAGAAACCTCTTCTACCAAGATAAAAATGAAAACCTGACTTCTCAGGACAGGATATACCTCAATTACAACACTTGTATCCCATGCATCTTTGTATTGATCATAACGAGGCGCAATAGTCATAACTCGATGTCCATTAGCCTAAAGAAGGATCAATTAGAGAGAGCCTAGCTCTCACTAAACCCTAAATATGCCAATAAATAAACAATAACAGCAAGCTTACTGCCAATGCCGGTGGCAGACCTCCAAGAACATCTCCTAACCCACCGGTTTTGCTCCATGGACCCACCTCCGTTCCTACAAATATCAAATTCATGCCACATATGATTATACCTGTAGGCCTGACATTCTTGCTTTGAAGCCCCTTCTTCATAGCTTGTGCTGCATTAATCTTAATTGGGGTTCTGTTAAGCAGCTCATCCACCGGGTTCAAAATTCTCAGCCCATTATGAGTATTGGCTTGTTTTAGAGATCTAAGTCCCATAGCTACTGCTTTAGACTCATATGAAGCAGTTGGTCTGTGGTGGACATGAGAACTTCCAGAGACCAGGTTACTTGAAGCAGTCAATGATGCCATCTTTGGTACCTACTCTGAACAACAAAGATTCTTTCAGAATCACACCAACATTTCTTATCACGTGAATTTTAGATCTAACTCAACCCCATAAAACTGATTTGTAATGTGAAGATTATTTCGTAGTTATACCCTCTAGTTTGATCATATCATAGTAGTAGATGTAGAATCTCCGACAAAAAAATTTCTTAGTTACACAAGCGAAATTATTCTATAGTAATGCATTTGTACTTAGTGTTATGAGTTCAAAGTTGAAAGTTCTTAGCTAGCAAATATATTCAAGAATGGTAGCATAAGAAACCATGATCTCATGTTGACACTTGACAAAATGGCACATTAAATAAACATGACTAAAATAAAGAGAAAAAAGAGTTGAAGTTTGGAATGGGAAGTAGCTAACCAGACAATGAAGCAGAGAGAGAGGTAGTTGGAGTTTCTGGAAGTTGTAAGGTTAAGGAGAAGGGCAAAGCATTAAGGAGAATTATTGAATTGTTTCTAAACGATAAACAGAAGGGTGCAACATTTTGTAGAGTGGTTGGTACCTTCCACGTGGCAAGCAGAGAATGATTCTTGTATATTGCATCGCTTAGCCACCTCAAACGCTATTAGCGGCTTACATCGTTTTAAGATTTTAGATGTTTGTTTATTGGGACCACGTTGCTGCCTTTGATAATTGGAATATGCCCTCGTACTGAGTAATAATAATAATAGTCTTCAAAAAATATAAGCACTTTTTTCGGATTTGGGGGATTCTTTAATTATATGACTAATAATAGCATTTTAGAGGGAGACTTTTTGCGCAAAATAAAAAGAGGGAGACTTTTTTCTTTTATGAATGGTTTTATGGGTTAAATCACTAAAGAGTTTTTTTTTTTCTTTTTTAAAGTATGATTGAACACATTTATGAGAGTGTTTTTATTAAAAATAAAAAGAAAATTGAAAAAAAAATCTTTAAATTTGTATTCAAATATCTCTTTAGTGTTATTAGATATTTATTGTGTTGGTAAATAATGTTGTTACATAAATAGTATGAGAAAGCGAGTCTTGAAAGTAATAATAACATTCTATCAAGTGTAATCCTTAAAGATTGATTTTAAAAATAACCACTTAAATATGTAATCGTAATTAAAGGAGGAGATGAAGATATTTCAATTTGAATCATGAAAAGCAATTAAAGTTGGATCAGCTTTGAGTCCAAAAGTAGAGGGGGATCTTATTAAGGTACTAACAAAAAACATTAGAGTTTTTGCTTGCATCCAAGCTACATGCTTGGGATAAATCCTGATTTCATGTGTCATTGATTAACACCAGACCTTTGAGTAAAGTCAGTGACACAAAAGTGAAAGAAGTTTGGGAAAGAGAAGTGAAATGCAATTTAGGAAGAAGTTAACAAGCTCATTAAGGCAGGTCATATTCAAAAAATTCAGTATTCAACTAGATTAGCAAATGTTGTGATGGTAAAAAGTTAAACAATAGATGGAGGATGTGCACTAATTTTATTGATTTGAAAAAAACGTGGCATAAGAATTCTTATTCACTTCCCAACATAGATTATCCGGTAAATAGGACTTCAGATTACAATTATTAAATGTTATAGATTTGAATAATTACTAGGTTTTCTCAATAATAGTTCTACTAAGAATTCCTCGGTGACAACCCTTTTATTGGAGTAAATGTGAAAACCTTTTCTTTTAATTTCTAAAATCTTTTTCTTTTAATTTTTAAATTTCAAATAAGTAAATGAGAGAAAATCATTTTATGAATGAAAACAAAAATAGGCAAACTATGGCTACATCGAGTTTGGAGAACTTGCTAGGTGCCAACGCTCAAGTGGGCAATGTATACATCGGTTTTAGACGAAGACGACCAAGTGATTTAGCATCGATAGATATTTGATGTTGATGTTTTAAAAAATGCTATAAATAAATAAATAAATATTAAAATTGTTCTGACCAAGTGATTTAGCATCCAGTTCAAGTTTGCGTGTGTTTGATGATTTATTTAAATACGAAAGTGTATTTTTAAGACTTGTTTATAATAGGTTTCAAAAAAAACAAAAACACTTGTTTATAATAATGACGTCCGATTCGATACGTTTAGTTATCAAAAGTTTAGAAAGAGGCTTAAGAGGGGATATTCCTCATTCCAAAATCTTGCGAAAAAAATAAGGCAAGAAGAAAGACTAATTTTATTTTTATCTACTTTTATGTTGATGTTAGTATATATTTCAATTATATTTTACATATATCAAGTATATTTCGTGCTCAAACTTAAAAGTATTAACTAAGTCGTACTATTAATAACTCTGCACCAATTAATATGTTTGTTTAGTGGTAATCTCACTTTAAAACACGTCAAATATGTTTGTTTTATCTATAAACAATGTTTGACACAATTATAATTTATTCGTATTTTAGTTAATTTTATGTCTATATAAAAATTTACTCTATTAGATAAAACATGAACTATTATCTTGTGTGAAAGTATTTTTAATTTTTTTATGAGGTGAGAGACCCTCCTTTCTTTTCCTTTTCCTTCTTCCGCTCTCACCCACAACACACTCTACTTTCACTTCTCTTTTCTCTCATTTTTACTTGTGGTGTGCTTGGTGGCTGAAGGTGCAAGTGGTGTGAGCTGATCTTCTTCTCCATAGACAGATTTCTCAAGCTTCTTCTCGTTCCCGTTCAAGTTCATTTCTTCTCCTTTTTCTTTGTCTTTCCCGGAGCTCGGAGCCATTGAACCGAGGTAAGGGAAGCTAGTTTTCTTAGCCGATTCTGTTGGAGATGAGTTCTTAAACTCATTGTGTGGATGATTTCTTGAAGATTAATGGTTGTGTGTGATGAAAATTTGTTTTCGGAGTCTTTCGGGGTTTCGGGGTTTTGATGAAAAATTTGGAGTTTTTGATGATTGATGGTTGCATATTGAAAATGAGGTGTTTTTCGTGATGTTTGATGAAAATGTGGACTTTTGGATGAATTGCATGTTGGATTTCTGGCTGTTTTTGCAGGATTTGGTGAAATTTTTTGAAAATTGAGGGTTGCTGCTAAGCCTCGCGCTGGGCGCAGTTCTTCGCGTCGGGCGCGTGACCACCAGGAGACCCCTTTTGGGGAAGCCCGCTGGGCGCAATGATGTGTGCACCGGACGAGCTTGGGAATGGGAGTCTCTGGCTGGCCCTCGTCGGGCGTGACTTGGACCGCGCCGGGCGCGATATCAGCTGTGCTATGTTTTGGGTTCTTCTGGCTTCGCGCTGGGCGCGCCCCTTTGCCGCGCTAGGCGTGAGACTCCTTGGGAGTCTCTACCATGGGTGCGCTAGGTGCAATTCAGATTGCGCCGGGCACGAGACCTTGGGAGGTCTCTGCCTTCCCCACGCTGGGCGCGAGTTTGGGCACACCGAGCGCATGAGACTCCTTAGAGTCTCTACTTGGGCATGCGCTGGGCCCAATTTATATTGCGCCAGGCGCATGAGAACCTTAGGCTCTCTGGCTGGGTCACGCCGGGTGCGAGCACTCTTGCATCGGGCGCGCTGGCCCCTGGTACTCTGTGGTTGAGCCGCGCTGGGCGCGACCATGAGAGCGCTGGGCACGTAGGATGATGATGACTTATATACTGATAGTTGTTGATTTAAGCTGAAACTGTTGATAGATGTTTTCTTATGCCGAATTAAGCTGAGGTTGATGAATATGCTGTGCTGACTAGATGATAATGCTGAATAATGATGTTAAGCTGTAATAGATGTATATTGTCGTGTTGAACTGAGCTGCTATAGATGATTTTAATGTTGAATTATAATATTGTTGTACTATAGAATGTTGAGCTGAGTTGTAAGTAGTAAGATGTGTTGAATACTACTTAGCTATGTTGTATGCTGATTTGCTGTGCTGTGTTATGAGTTGTGTTAGCTGAGTTGTATGTTGATTATTAGCCACTATTGTGGTGCTATTATAGCCACTATTGTGGTGCTGTTATAGCCGCTAAGTCGGTGCTGTTATTGCCGCTATGCGGTGTTGTTATAGCCACTAGAGTGGTGTTGTTATTGCTGCTATGCAGTGCTGATATTGCCGCTTTGCGGTGCTGATATTGCCGAATGCTGTGGTGTAGTATAAGTTGGTTGATGTGCTGATAGTTGTAGTTGTTTACATTCATATTGTTATATATGTATGTTGATTTTCTTATCACTAGCTTACCCTTTGTTGTTTCCATGGTGTTTGGACTACAATGATTATACAATGTATGGGAGCAGAGCAGGGATAAGTTGGTGGCTAGAAGCAAGACTGTAGATGGCAGATATTGCTGATTTCTTTTGATGTTTTGTTGATTTAGCTACTTAGTGTAGTAGCATTTGATGTATTTTGTACACTTTAACTCTATCCAGACTTGGACCTTGTATATGTATATATTCTAGACCCTATATGTATACACTTGTTCCTTTCTGTGTGGTGTTTCTAGTGTGATGTGCGGTGTGTAGTGACCAGCTGGGTCGTTACAAGAGGAATTTTAGGGATTATTTTAACTTTATATCTGATTCAATTTTTATTTATCATAATTATTTAGGAATTAAATTTTAATATTTTTAAAATAAATTATTAATAAATAAAATAATTTATTATAAATATAAAATGTAATAATATTTAAAAATATCTACTTACTCAAATTTTAAATATAATTTATATATTTAAATATATTATTTACATAACTAGTATTTTAGTCTTTGTATTTCACATGTTAAATATTTATTATATATAACTAAAATTTATAATAAATTATATATAAATAAATATTATATTTAAATATGTATATATATATATATTTAAAATTTGTATAAAAAAATATTTTTAAACATATAAATTATATTTTTAAATTTAAAATAAATAAGTTATATTGTAGCACAACATTATTTTTATCTATTGATAATTTATTTTTAAAATATTAAATTTAATTTATAAATAAATATAAAATTGAATTGGATAAAAAATTAAAAAAAAATCTCTTAAAATAATTTCATGCAAAATAGTCATTTATATTTAATATATAAAAATTAATTAATTTAAATTGTAGTTATATTTGACCCATCAAAATTTTAATGACAAAACTAAAATTTAAACCTAAAATTTTGTAGGTTCTATTTTAACTTCCACTACTAAACTAATCTTAGTGATTAAATTTTAATTATATATAATAAATATATAATATGTATTACACAAAAGTAAAATACCAGTTAAAAAAGATGTAAATAGATCAAATCATATATATTATAAATATATTAATAATTTAACCCTAAACCAACCATCCGAAACTTCCTCCAAATTTAACCCCTTGAGAATGAGGACAAGCAATTTTCCTCCAAATTTAACCCTTGAGCATGAGGACAAGCAATTTGCAAATGGACAATCGTAAACATGTTGAACCAGAATGGTTGTGAATTGTGATGGTGACCCATGGGTGGGGCTAATGTACCAAAAGGAAACATAGCACGAGTTGCTAATTAGATGCTACCAAAAATACCCTTCTAGTGCACATTCAAAACTTTCTTTGCTCTCCATCATTTT